AAAAAAAAAAAAAAAAAAAAAGAGACCAGTAACCTGTATGCACAAACGTTCCACCATGATGCACCATCCAGAAATCCAGAGGTCGCCATGTCTTCCAAGCCTCACTTGCTATCTTAGCGCAGCACAACCAGCTTCTATACCTGTGTTTGGCTGCTGTAGCGGCTGTCAGAAAAAAGGGCATTTTGCTGTGCATCTGTTTGTGCACTTCTTAATCAATCATCACTGCAGTTACACGTCAAGCAGCATTTTTTTCCAAAAGGGTAACTCTAAAGGAAGGGGAACATGCTTTTCTTCGTATCCCCTATTTACCCAATGTTTTCAATTACAGGTTTTGGAGAAAGGATCTCAAGCATGACCAGCTAAAACTTAAATACGCCCCAGTTATGGCCAGCACAGTCTTTGGTTTAGAACAATATAATCCACACATGAAGATAATGTGAGTTAGAAGCACTGAAGTTAATGTTACAACTTCACATGCACTGCACAGAAGTTTAGGACAGTGTTGCAGTAGGAGACAAACATGCCTCCTCTTCTTCTAACAATACAACCTTCCGTCTGGAGAGAGACATCACGGACTTTATGACAGTTAAAGAAATTCTAACAAAAATGCGCAAGGCAAGAAAAGCAAATGGGATTACAATCTGCATAAGATGGAAAATTGCTGTGCTAAATTCACTTAACAAGCATGTTAGGAAGAAGGCCCCAAGGCTTACACATGGGTACAGAGCCAGCTTGGCAAACATGAAGGCATGCTCCTTGCCACCATATCTAGCAAAAGGATGCAAAGTTTCCCTTTCATGGAGGAGGGCTGTAGTCCATATTGCAAACTGAAATATGCTGGCAAAGAAAGTGATAACACAGCTGACCTGAATGGCTTCTATTTCATTGTGAGACCTCTCTGCAAATTCACTGGTCAGCTGGTAAGCTAGCGGAAGCCCACCAATGAAAGCCAATGAAAGTATGTTAAGCAGTCCCATTAATCGTGTAGCTTTTGTTACATAAAGGAAAAGTGAGTGATGGACAAACCACAGGAGACCAATTGTTACAAATGAGCCAAAGTAGGCAAGGTAGTTTGGGCCATATTCACTTAAAGCTTCAAGAAGGCTGCCATGGAACTTCTCCTCAACTTCTCTGGGGTCAGGGACATTGTCCTCACTGTGGAGAGAAAACTTACTTTACTGTGCATATTACTGTTATAAAAACACACCTGGAGCAACACTGAACGATGCTGCTTTACTCTAAGCAAGTAGGGGACAACAGGCATTCACTTTGTAGTTCTCTAATTTGTAACTTAAAAACAGCATTTCAAATAACAGCTCTGCAAATAAATTAGATCTGAAAGGAAATCTGAAAGTAAGTTGGCATTCCTTTAGGTTAATGTAACAAAGTTGCCACAGAGACTAAACAGCTTTTGTTGATAAAAGCCTTTTATCTGAAAACATGACTAAGCAAAAAGGAAGCTTTGCTCTTCAAGACTCCCCACCCCAACATACATTAAATAGACTGATGATCACAACTGCTGAAATGTGGGCATTAGAACTATCTTTTGTGTTCTGTATCTTTCAAAAAAAAAATCATACTTAAAGTAACCACTGCAGGTTTTAGAAGTCAAAGACAATGTTTGGTTAATTTTATTTCCTCAAATATTACATATAGACAAAAGTTAAAGTTATATTTAATAACACAAAGTGTAAGAGGCAACACAAAGCCTTACCATATATCCAAAATGAGCAGGGTTGCTACAATAGCATAGACTCCATCACTGAATGCTTCCACCCGTTCCTTACTCAGAGGCTCACTGAGGTAAAAAGTGAAGGTTTCTAAGCTATGGTGTGCCTCCTCTTCATCTCTCTGACCTGGAAACAAATCCAGGTGTTTACTAATGAAAGACAAAATCAGGTAGTATAAAACAAGGTAGTTAAACAACCTACTGTGACCTCCCTTTCTCTTTCTCCCCACCTGCCAAAATCTTTCTGTAGAAAGAAGGGTGCTGTTCATCCACACAGGTCAGTCACTCCACTTTTTTTGGCAGCTGTGCCTCTCCCTGAAGTTCATGTTGCTTTCAGGACAACAAGTGCTTCAGGGACAAAAAAGCACTGTCCTTTAAACTGTATGGCTGACCACTTCCACCAAGTGAGTAATGACTCAAAGCTGTAATTGAACAAAACATTTAAGCTAAACAAATCAGATGCTGTGCCTCGGGAAGCCCTAATAGCTGTAGGTCCTCTAAGACAGTGTGGAGAACTTACACTGCATGGGAGAAAAACCTCACAGGAGCATGGGGGCTGCCCTGGGACATCAAATGGCCTGCTTTAAAATAATCTAGTCTTTGGTCAAAAGATGGGGCTCTGGAGCTTTTATAGGAAATGTCAAACACATCCCTGAAGACTGGACTCTGAACTGCCCAGCTAGCCAAGCTGCACCACTTCAGGAGTATAGATTGGATGAAGAAGCAGCTTCCAGAGGAAGTAAGGAAAGGAACTGAATGAAAAGCAAGTGTAATCACAACTCAGCCAATAGAGCAGTAATTTATGTCAGCCATCTGATGGGGTGAGACGTACACAGACATGGCCTGACGGCAAACTGCAGTGCCTCCATTGCAGTAGGCACAGGCAATACTTCTATGTGTTTATTCTCTGGCTCCGAGAGTCTGGCTTTAGCCTTTTCAGAGCATTTCTGCCTCCCTATTATTGCTGCCACACGGGGGAGTCAAACGTATGCTCCCATTTGCAGTGCACACGGACTTGCGCTAGGCTGAACAGCAGCAGCAGAAGCACAAAGGTGTTATTCTTCTGACTTGCCTCAGGAGTGCCGATTCCAAAGATGTGATCTGTTCAGTGTTTTTGTGGTCAGTTTATATGGCTCTCAAAGAGGGACACTCCACCTTTTGGCTGAGTAGGTTGCACAATACCACCTTCTCCTTTATTCTGGCACTGGCAACCTTCTTCTCAGCAGAATTTAAGAGCAGCTCTGGCTGTCGGTGTGGTTGTGCAATTGTTAGTGCTGACACAAGGCGGGCAGAAAGAACATAAGCAAGGAGCGTGAGGTAAGGAGGCATGGATTTAGGCCTACTTAAGCCATGTGTGAAGGCACACCGTTAGACCACAGCAGTTAGATTAATGAGATGTAACACCCTAAACAGTTAACTACCCCGAAAAAGTTCGATTTATAGATGCTCTGCTTGCCAGTTTGAAAATGTGGGACCATACAGTATTGCTGGGAAGAAAGTGATACAGGCATAGAGTTTGCTTCCTATATTCTTCAATCCCCATGCTCCCTTTTTAGGAGGGAAAAGGGATAGATGGCCTGCAGCCACCATTCACGTACTTGTGTGTATGTGCATGCACGTGCATATTCAGGACAAACCAGAGAGGTTTTGCACTCAGAAATGATCTTTGAATGTGTTGTGTCTTACACAAATCTAGTTACAAATTGAGGGAAACCAGGGAGCGAGGGAGAAACTGTTTGGAAGCACAGCAATAAACCCCAAAATCACTATGCTCCAAGACTGAAAATGGAAGTATAGCACTAAAATTACTTCATTCCAGGCTGTTTGGATAACATGTTGACAACCTAATAACATATCTGAACATAATCCTATGAATATTGCTACTCACCAACAATCTTGGTTTTACACCATGTAATGAATTGAGTGAGATGCGGAAAAATGATTACGAGCCCAAGAAGTACGTAAGACTATGGAAAGGAAAATGAACACAGTTTAAATTTAGTTATCAAAATATAAATTACCTTCCAAGTTTAATATGAAACTATTACTCTCAATCTTTAGGTATAATCACATTGTGAAAAACAATTCTTGACTTTATGACATGGAAAAGGCTCACCTGAAATGCACATGTACCTCCTGAATATTGCATATGCAACCTAATACTGCTTTTTGATAGCTAATTTAGTACCAGTAATGAAGCAAGCTAAAACAAGAAGGGAAATAATTCTGTTAACAAAAATGCACTAATGACTTCTCTGGAAGTTGGAGAACTATCCCATGTGACCCTTATGGGTCCCTTCCAACTTGAGATATTCTATGATTCTATTACTCTACTACTTGCGTCCCAAAGACACCTTAGTGGGTCATAAGTGGTTCACAGGCTTTGCACAGATCTAAGCACAGGAGCAACTTGGAGACTAATTTCACTGTTATTAATATTAAAAGAAAATACACTAGTGAACAAGGCGAGGGAGAAGACGGAAGTAAGGGTGTAAGAGGAAAACATATTTTCAGTTAAAATTAAGCCTTTTCACGTTTGGACTCATAACTGTCCCTTTTATCAATAGCAACCTGATTGCTCCCAAATTTGGGGATTATTTGAACACTGCTAATTCCCATGGAATCTTTCCCAAAATTCAGTTAAATCTACCTTTTCCTAAAGAACAAGACAGAGGAAGGGAAGCTCAGGATACATCCAAAAACTAGACTTCAGTTCCAAGTGGGGGTTCTGAGAAAGATAAAAGCTATTAATAAGTAGGAGCAACTCGCTGCCGTTCAATAAAGATGGCAGAGAAAAAGGCTGTGTAAGGGCAGGCCTTAGCCAAAAACATTTGTTTTGAGATGCAGGTTGGCTAACTGATCTGCTTATTCTATTTGCTCTTACACCCTGAGTTAGTGCAGCAATTATATTCACTTGTCTTCAGTTTGTGCAATGTGATGCTTATTTCATGCAACCTTCCACATTATCTCACCTACTTATGATGAGCAAGATGCTAAGTTACAGTTTAGAAGACCTAATTAAGAGAAGCATTAAAAAAAGAACAACAGGCACAGCAACTAAAGCAAATATTGTAGCAGAATATTCTTTCAAAACTATCCAAACTCATGGATCAAATTACAGATTGGTATCTGTGAATTGAACACCTTCAATGCAAAATAGCAGCCATGATTACACCACTACAGAACTGGCAACTGAGGAAGTCTGCATATTTAACATGGACATCATTCTTTTAATACACAGTCCTAAATATGACTAATATAAACTGCTCCATCAAAGTTTTCGGTTAACTGGGAGAACTTACCAAAGGAATAAAGAAAAAAGAAAAGATGGCTGCTAAAAGGCATAAAATTGGTCCTCTTAGGATAATCTTTAAGATATGACGTTTATAGAAATTCTGATTTTCAGACACCTGTATCTGTTGATTCAGTAAGTGTGGGTGATAGAATCCATATACTACTATCACAGCCTGCAAGAAGAGCATTGCTGAAGTTATTACATACAAGTATATGCAGCATTTAAAATATAAAACTGTAAAACTATAAATCGACAAATTCCAAAACACTTAACACTTAACCTTAATTCTTCACTCCCACATGGAGAGCTGGTCTTAGAAACTCTGAGATTTCACAATACACTGCAGGACAAGATTTTAGTCTCCTCTGCAGAGCTTGTCATGACCACAGATCTTATATGAAGAGGAATGAAGACCTCCACAATAAGGAACAGAAAGTGACAAGGCACTGCACCAGGAGAAAACCAGTGCCATTGGACTGAGGCTGAAAGCCCATGTTCACTTAGCCATCACTGCACGGCTCAGTAAGAATCTCAGCAGGAAAAGTCAATTGCTATTTCCCCAAGGCATTTTTAAAGAGTGGGAAAGGAACTACTATACTGTGGACTTTGAGATCAGCTCATTTAGTTGCATACATCAGCTTCACAGGACAGTGGCAATGCAAACTTTCATCTTACATACAGATACTGTATTATCACAACAGGCACAACTTTGAAAAAGAATGCTATACAAACAAAAAAGACATTTAGCAGTTTATACCCATAGTTAATAAACATAATTTTAGTTCCACCCAAGAAAATCTATTTAAAAGTGAAAATGTAAATGGATAGCTCCAATACCTGTATAAGGCCAATGACAACAGCACAGACACTGAACAAGAAAATGCCAAAAGGTACCTCTGGAAAGGAGGCCATTAAGGAAAACTAGAAAAAAAAGCAACTAGATCAAATATTTAATTAAGCAGCAATGTAGGAATAACCACAGAGAAACAGAAGCACTCTTCATTCAATACTGAAACTCAAAAACCTAAATAATACTTTGCATTTCAACATAATTCCACTAAATGCAATTTCTATCCGCGAATACATGCAGGCATTCCAACCAAAGGCACCTGGAGAGATGGCTTTGCTCCCATGTCTCCGTACTAACTAGACTGGCTTGTAGCTGAGCATAAAGTTTAACAGTGTTTTCAGTGGACAAGATGTTCATAGCTGTGAAAATTCTTGATATTAAGATAACTTTTTGAATCTTTTAATTTCTCTGCCTCCATGGCTCCCTTCTGTATTAATTTCTGCAGCTTCATTAGGGGGAAAAAAAAGCAGGGAGTAGTATTAAGGTAACATTGGCAACTTTCCAAATTATTTCAGCTTCAAGGCAAAGTAAAAAGTATGTGCTCTTGCTGATAAAGATCGTTCTACTGACCACAGCCTTATTATTTGCAGACTAATATATAACACAGATATATCCACAGAGAAACAGGTGCCTGTCATACAAATCTGTTCTACACATACAATAAAAGTCAAGATGCATTTTAAGCAACTGTTGTGTTCTGCTAATACAGTGTTCAGCTGCAAATATTCTTGCTAGGTCTAAAGGTCATCTGATCAGAAATTGTGCAGAACATCAAATTTGCAGATTTAAAAAATGAATGATTGGCTGCCAGAATCAACCTTGCTGAGTAAGTTAAAAGTGATATAAAAAACTCTGTCTAGATTACAAAAAGAAAACATTCTGTCATCTAAAGAGGAGTCTGAAACACAGCTTTAGTTCCCTTACTAAATGCAGAATTTTCATCAGACAACTTTGACATTTTTCAATACAGTTGCTTTTGTAAAAGAAATCGTGGGAAACTATGACTTTCCACGATGATAATTTTCCTTCGAGAATACCCATTTTCTGCCAGGTCTATAACATGCAGTAATTGAAGGTTATAACATATCCTCATGAATTTTAAAAAAGTAAGGCTTAACTATTACAATGGATTTGGGGTTTATATTACAGAAACACTTTCCTGGGTTTCTGAATACTTTGGTAAAGTCTTTCCAAATAAAAAAAGAAAAAAAACCTGTAATTGAAACATATGTCAGATTTTAGAAAAGTACTTACTGTGTATGGCAAGAAAGTTATGATCATCATACAAGCCTAAAAAAGAAAAAAGCGTACTGAAACACTAGGTAAAATACAAAGCAAGCAATCCCCTCATTAAAGATGTGTCCAGAGAATGCAAGAAAACAGATCAAATGCTTGTGCTTGCGTCACAAAAAAACCCCACATTTCTGAAGTTGCTGAGCTTTGACTGTAACAAATGACTAGTTCTGCACACGTCTTCCATGTTTGCTATCCAAACTGTACAGGCTTCTTTTAGAAACCACTACAGTTTTGTTACCAATACCACGGGTAAAAGTTTTGCCATGGTTCTCAACAGACTTCTTTCTAAAGTAGCAATGCCAAAAGTACCACACCTTCTAAAGAGGTGTTTCTGATTTGTCAAAACCATTAATCTCTGATCACAAGTATTTTATACATAAAAAAGCCAAATTTAAAAAACGACCTCAAGCACAAAGAAATGCACTGCTTTGAAAGCTGCATTAGATAAGAATTACATGCCTTAAACCAGTCCTCTAACACAATTTCCTGCAGTGTTATCTCATGGAGTTTAAACTCAGTATTTTTATTAACAAAATTAAATTGCGTGGTTGCACACTGTCAGAGAACAGAATTTCAAACAATATAGCAAAATACAAGGCTCCAGCTGAAAGCAAGAATATGTTCACCATTGCAGCATCCCATCACAACTGTTAGTAACCAAGATACTACAGGGTGGCTTGTTAAAAAACATACTCAAATAAATGAAGAATTTTTAAGATATAAGATTTAGGCAAGCGTAAAGCTCAAAACACTGATTCAGAGATTGGTCTCTCAGTGGTAGTTTTTGAAAAAGCATATAATCCTCTGTTTCAAATAAGCTTCAGAATTAATTTCTGAGCAACCTGAACAGAGAAATGACTGAAAATGTAACTGTAATTCAAACCTACCACTAAGATTTTTTGCTACAAAAGACATAGCATTTCATCTTCTTAAGCCTGGAGGACAGATACTTCCGCTGGACACAGACGAACAGAGTCAAAAGCTTTTGCCATAGGTGCCTCTTCAGTTCCCTCAGATGAACTTCAGACTAACCCGTTGCAGAGCTTCTTTTCACTTACAGTAAAACATGTGCAAGTTATAAACAAGTTAGTTATCAATCAGCCACTTTGGCAAGGAGGAATTCAAGCTCTTTGTATCTTCCTGACTTGGAAATTTGGCAGAGTTATGCTATTTAAATTAGAAACTTTTGGATATGTAGATACAGACTTAAGAAAAAGTGACCTGTACTTGCTAGTTAAACATCCAGCGTGTCTGACAAGACTCACCAGATTTAGAAGAGCAAGGACATCATCTATAAGCTCTATCACCTGAAACAACCTGTCAAGGCAAGGCAAGATACCATGAACAAGCGAGCTCCCAAAATACGTTTTACAACACTGTATACAAAATTATACACTTATGATATTATAGGGGAACCTGATTTCCTTTGCTTCACAATTTATACAAGTAGTCCAGGTGATACCAAAACTCATTAGCTCAAACATCAAGTAATTTGTTAGAAAAATTTGAAAAGTGAGATATGAACAGTCAAGTTCAATCATGGAGCAGTTATTAAGAACCTCATTTCTATTTGAAGGACAAGCGGCATATGACGTAGCAAACTGGCTTTTTTTTTTTTCCTACTCTATCCTTCCTCTACACCTGGAATTATATATTTACTTTGAAATAAATGTCACCATTGTTAAGAGCCAATTCACCTGTTAAGTAGTGATCCAGATGTCAGTTCTGACCCATTGAGTCACATATCAAAAACCCAACAAGGCAGGGAGCTACAAATGGATATCATTGCTTGGAAAATGGAAGATAGGGGGTGATTCGGGAGCAGGAGTTGATGATGACTCTCTGGAGGACTTGCCACTTCACTATAGGATGAAATGCAGCCAAGTCATGGGGCAGGCAATTGGTTTGCTTTCTCCTAGAGCAGTTTTGTTCCAGAACACCTCTATCTTTTGCCACCTGACACACCCAGAACAGGACAGCCAGCAAACTGCTAGCGAGCTGCACAAGGCTTGGGAGCCACAGGACAACTATCATTAGCTGTCAATTTGCTTAAACACAGGCAAGGCCCAGAACTAACTGGAGACTGACAGCCTGTGCTCATTGCTCAAGCAAATGCTTCCAAAGCATGAACAAAGGCAGACTTTCACCAGCAGACACTGTTCACCGGTCATGCAAGAACACGAACAAGTCCATTTGATACTCTGACGCCAAAATAAAAATATAGGCACCAGACTGACTTTTAGCTTGTCAGGCAAAGCAATACTGTGCAGGGATCTGAGCCCTGCAGTAGCACTGCACAGATCTTCCAGAGCAGATCCAGATGTTCAGAGTCCATCCAGAGTCTCAGATTTTTCTGTGTCTCACATGCCACTGTGAAGAGCTATTATTCTGGTTTTCTCTGAGTTTTATTTGGGAAAACAGAGGCAAGTTCATGCTGTTAAGGCCACAATATTTTCAGAATTTTAAGGCCTAAAATTATTTCTCCTGAAGATACAGCATAGTTATCATTACGCAAAGAAAATGTGCTTTTCTTCCAAACTGCCCCACACCTTGTTAATGAAATTCCTGATCCACGGAAGTGTCACTTAGAATCAATAGAACCAATCACCCTCCGCAAAACCCTAACTAAACTACTCAAAGACTATGCCTCAGCATTTACTTATGCAAGCAAAGCAAAGCAATGTGATAAAAGCACTGGTGTGAAGTATCAGCCTCAAGTATTGAATTACAGGCTGCACACCTCTATTAGAATGCAGTCAATCCACTTACTTAAGGAAAGAATATAGTAACATTTATAAATTTCAAAATTCAAACAAAAACTGCCCTGGTTCCAGTATGATGTCTGCATGTCAATGTCTTTTTAACTACCAAGACATGGGCAGGTGGCAGGGTCCACAGCTCTGTAAAATGCAGCATCTCCAACATTACAATTGATTTTGTGAGAAGGACTGCTGAGGACTGAGAGAGACAAGTTTTAGGCCAGCTGTACTATGTCAGTTCCTCTATTTGTGCAGCACACAAGTTACAAAGTCATACTTTTTCAGCGTAATTAGAAGTTTAATTCTATCTAGAATATGAAGTAAAATGAAGAGTAACTAATTTAAAAGACATATGATGCTTGATTTTCTCTGTATCACTGTGTCAGTGGTGTAAGAGTACAGTTATTCACTGCTTAGGGCAGCATTTCTTTACAATGAATCTTTTATATTATCCACCAAAAGACAATTCAGAAATGTATCAGCAAGACAGAAATATATCAGACACATGGTTACCTCCTGTCCTTTTAAACAAGTTTTTCTTTAACTTTGGAGTTAAACACTGTGTTCCTACCTTACATGAGCTGCCCATGCCACTGTGACTATTAAGAAGGTCATCAAGTAGACTGCAATTTTTGCTAGAAGAAGTTGCTGAACACTTTCACCTAGTTTCTGAAACAGAAAGTGACACCCAGAGACAGAGAAAGGAAAGTTAAATGTTATGTTGTGAAATTATTAGCAGTATCTGCAAATGAGGGAGGACATGCAAAAAATAATTTTTTAAAAATGCCTGCCAAGAACACAGTTCTCTTCCAACAATCTTTTTACTACCATGCAGAGGAACTGGTTTATTAGACACTTATAAGTATGCTGAAATGTGTAGTTAGTGGCATATGATGTACCAACACATCTCTTCAACCTGTAAAAGGGCTTCCCAATGCTCTGTTCACGTTGTAATTCATTTATGCACTCTCTCATCACTGTTACTGTGATAATGCGTTTCAGAGGAGGGCTGGCCACAAAATGCCTCTTATTTTCTTAGTACTGACTTCTGGAGTAGAACCATCACACAGGTTTTCATGTGATGATTGTTAACAATGAAGAAGGGAAGGGCTTAACCCTAGCAAATTTTGCATATACCACCACAATGGCTTAAATAGACTAATGCGGCTTATTTGCCATGTTATGGATCATACCTGAGTTTCCTAAACTAAATGAGACAAAATATTTGTGTCTAGGTCTGGTTTTAAGAGCAGAAAAATAAATCATGATAAAAAAAACCCCTGTAAACTTTCTCAAATGATTAATTTATGTTTCCTAACAATCCTGTTTCTTTCAGAATTAGTTTATTTTCTGTAGCCTTCTTTTTCCACCTTTGCTTATTCTGATTACATTTATTAGTAATCTGATTTTAAAACCAGCATTCAGCTTGCACTATGTAAGTGGCTTCTCTAAGTGATCACGTATTGCCAAAAAGAGCAGATGCTTTCCGAAAGATGTTTTGGTCAGATGGTCAATTCATTTTTCACACAAAAGTAACTGGATAAAGTCTATGGCCTACAATATACAGGTCATTCAGGCTTTATATCACAACTTCTGCAGATCACACAGATCTTATTCAGTAGGATTCTTAAATCAGTATTTAAGTTTTTCACCCCAAGTTCAACAGCTCCTCCCCCTAGGGGAAATTTCTGTTGGCTTTAACGTTACTTAATGGCTTGGGCTTTTTGAAAGTCTGGAATTTGAAATGGAGGTGCTAAATTAGTATGTTACATGTACTTGCAAGGACATGAGAAACAACAAAACAAAAGACGTATGATACCTGATCAGGATGTATTTTTGTGTGAGCCACAGGCAAAATCTGAAATAACGAAACGTTATTAGTACATGGAATTCTTCTCCTTATCGAGAGCTTTATTAAAATCTAAAATACTTCAGGTGGCCGCAAATATTCCCGGATCACGTAGCTACTAACAGCCTGCAGTTCCGATAGACTGAATCACTTTTCGGCCGCACAGGGACAACGCTGTTACTCGCCCCCCGCGACCGTGCACTGCTGCCCGGGGATGGCCCGCCGCGCTCGCCGGCACACGGCTCCCAGGCTGCGGGACCGGCGCCGACATTTCGCGGTAGCGCTGCAGGAACTGGGCTGGGGGGAACAGGCCAACACGGCTCCTCCAAAGCGCCGGGCTGGGAGGCAGCTCGCCAGGCAGAGAAGCGCAGGGACAGGGCACGGGCGCAATCCGCTGAGCCCGGGACAAGCCGCGGCTGCTCAGGGTTTTTCCCTCACGCCGGCCGCCCTGCCGGGCCTCCCCGCGGCGTCAGCCCACCCCCGGCCTCGCCAC